GTCTTTCCAGCATTAAGGTAATCCTGCTTTTTTTTTAATCATCTTGTCTCAGTTACAAATTTGACTGGTAAATGATAAAGAATGATGGCCCCTTTTGCATTGCACATATTAGGGATGACAGATTGATAAAAAAGACATGCTATTTATGACTAGATGTAACTTTTGATACTTCGCGGTAAAAGTGGCTCTCTGATTGACTTTGCCCTATCAGTGCGGCTCTCATGAAAAAAATAGTGAAGACCACTGACCTACAGTCTTACAAACATTTACAAACTGTATCCGGTATGATAAGAATGTTATGTTACATTTTATGTTATGTTACGTTATGTTGCATTTTCACCATTTACAATGGCAGGGCCTGCCATCTTGTGTTTTTGGTTTGTTGTTTCTGTTTGCACTTTAACCCTAAGGGGGAAATCCAGATCATATCCCAGAAGGGAAAATCAAAACAAAATAAAGTTAAAACTTGTTTTGAACAATTTCTTTGTCATCTGTAGATTGATTTTAAGTAGGGGGGAAAAAATCGATTTAAATCGTAAATCGGATTTTTTGTGAACAAATCGGGGATTTTTTTTTAGGCCATATCGCCCAGCCCTAATATAAATATATACATGGAAATATTTTCAAAATATATACTGCATGTGTGTGTATTTATATATACATAATAAATATACACAGTAGTACACACACATATATTATGTGAACAAAAACTTTTATTTTGGATGCAATTAATCGCGATTAATCATTTGACAGCACTAGTACAAACAATATTTTAAATGTGTTTTTTAAAATTTGCCATAAAGGGATACAGCCGGACAGGAGAGGTTCAGAACCATCACCACTGCATATTATAGAGGAGCAATGGTAATGGTCTTATTCTCTTGAGCAAATAATGCTAGATATGCTTCTGCACCGGTTACATTTCCTAATCTATGTGTTTCTTTTTTGTCATTTTCACAGGGAATTATGCTGGTGTACGATATCACAAATGAGAAATCATTTGACAACATCAAGAACTGGATCAGGAACATTGAAGAGGTGAGAAACAGACCTAATGCATGAAGTTTTCACTTCATCAATTTTAAGTGAGATTCATTTTCCCTCTTTATTCATGTTTTATCAGCATGCATCATCAGATGTGGAACGGATGATATTGGGTAACAAATGTGACATGAATGATAAGAGGCAAGTTTCAAAAGAAAGAGGGGAAAAGGTATGTATCATTAAAAAATATTTTTCAAATGATTGAAAATCTATTTTATGAAGCAAATCTTGGTCCAGAAACAAGCCAGAACAAGCTATTATGTAAAAATGCTGATGTGTTTATTTAAACATTTCCCTTTTTTTCTGCTACAGCTAGCTATTGATTATGGAATCAAGTTCTTGGAAACAAGTGCAAAATCTAGCACAAATGTTGAAGAGGTGGGCAAAATTCTCTTGTTAAAATCAGTCTTTTTTTTTTTTTTGGAAAGAATTAGTTATCTAATATTGATTAATTTATTTGAACAAGATTTGCATTTTTTACTGATCTAATCTAGTGGCATGTTTTTCTTCAATGCTAGGCTTTTGTCACTCTTGCTAGAGACATCATGACCAGATTAAACAGAAAAATGGTGAGAATGAAATATTACAATCATGTAGAAAATGTTTATTATCCTGAATCTCAGAAAATGGTTAAGAAAATGCTTAGTACTACTCACTGACTCAAATATAGAAATATATGATGTTAATATGATTGAAATTTCTTTATTCTGTCCAAAAGAACTTTAAAATGTGGGTTTATGTCTAACACTAATGCTGAATGGATCTTTGTGTTTAGAATGAGAATAACCCTTCGGGAGGAGGAGGAGCAGTGAAAATCACAAAGAGTCGATCCAAGAAGCCAAGCTTCTTCCGCTGCACTCTGCTCTAACCCGGCAACTTCTGCAGCCTCAGTGTGTGAATGATTTCATTTCTCTATGTGTGTTTGGCGTGCGCGTGTGTGTGTTTGTGTGAGGGTTTACAGTACCACTGGACTTTCAGCTGTTAGCTGCTGCTGAGAGCTCTGGACTTTAGCCTGCCTCATCTATACGCATTGAAGGCCTGAAGAGAGTGTGCTAGATAAAGGACTATTGCGCTGTTCCCAAAACGTTCCTTTTAAGGCAAAATATCCATCTACCTACCCCTTAGCCCCCTGGATCAGTCCCAATTTAGTGAAGCCTAATTTGAATTTTGGGAACCTTTTTTTTAATCTTTACAATAATTAATTACATATAGTCAATTTATAGTCACATTGATTTTAAATGGTTTATTAAAGCACCATTTAATGAAGGAAAATTTATGAAGAGATGACAGTATATCGAACTCCTGCTATTATGCAGTTTTTGGCAATAAAGACTGTGGACCTAAAGTAGCGACTGAAGAACCTGAAAGTTTGACAATTAACTATTGGTCAAACTGAAGGATATATATAATTTTTGTTATTGTTGAATGTTATGTTTTGTTATATTTAAAGTCACCCATTTTATATGTACTTAATTGTGTTTTTAGTTACTGTTCCAAAGCCGCAATAAACTGTGGAATAGAAGGCAATGTTCCACAGGTCTTAGTCTTCCCCCTTTCCCTGACTTTGTCATTAACTTTATCTGCAACAGAGACCAAAGTAAAAAGAAATCGAAACTGTGATGGATACTAGCAATCAAAATTTCTCCTTCTTTTTCTTTCTTTTTTGGTTGTAATCTCATATATATTGAGCATGAAAAAGAAAGACAAAAGAATAACGAGAGGGCTAGGACCCATTTCCTAATGCTTGTTGAAGCAGCAGCCAGCTAGGCCCTATATATTAGTATATACAGTATTACATTTACTAATGGTATTATATTTTTATACTCTTATTGACGTAAGCATCTTTTACTCACCACTGCATATGAAGCACCTAAAGCATGTTAACCTGTGCTTATGTGAGATTGATTTATTTAATACTTATTTTTTTAACTCATTTAAATGTTGTCACAGTATTCTGTACGTTGTCTTTTGTAATTCCCTCTTTTATAAGACTCTTATGAGTGTGAAGTCGTGTAGTGTTTACAGCACAACTGCAACAGTATCTTTTTTTTTTTGAGGTCATTCACTGTTATTTGTGTGTGTGGGTCTCTTGTAGAACCTCCTCACTTCATAAACCACTTAAAGTCCCGCCTGTCAGCCACTTAAAAAAAAGAGTGCAAGATAGTAATAGCTTGAATGTGTTCAAGTGTCCTTTGAGCTTATTGGGCTATTACTAGGCCCATGTGAAATTTGCAGACTTTTATCGCTGATTCTGTGGGGGGGAAAGACATGGAATTTTACATTCAAACATGGTTAACCAGAGCTGAGAGTACTAAACTCTTATTACCTTAGTGTATGAGAAATGTTCCAATTCTGTGTAAATCTGCAGATCTTTCCATGTACAGATTCCATGTGGGCCTGTTACAAATTGAGAACAAACTGAAATGTTGAGAATCAACCTAGATATTTCAGAATTCATCTAAGTTACTCATAATGAATGATTGATTTTACTGTTTATGGTTAAGGGTGTACGATTGCTTGAGTTCTATTGGCATTGTGCATCTGTTTGAAAGAACCCCTTTTCGTGCTTGTGAGGTGTGCCATTTCCACTTAAAGTGATAGTTCACCCAGAAATAAAACTTCATTAACTCATGTCAGTCCAAACCCTGCTTTCGTTGTTCTGTGGAACATAAAAGAAAGTATTTTTGGAATGATAAATGTGTTTTTGTCCATAAAATGGAAGTCAATGATTTGGTTGAAACGTTCTTTAAAATATACTGATTTGCGTTCTGTAGAAAGTCATACAGGTTTGAAACAACATGAAGGTGGACAAATGATGACAGAATTATCATTTTCGAGTGAACTATCCCTTTAATGACCCAGTAGTCAAGTTTTGAATATGCATGCAGGCACATTTGCATATTTTTCAATGAAACCGTGACAGCACTCAGCCTCCCATATGAGCATAACGTCTTACTGACCATTCAATGCAAGCTTTTATGTCCTATTTTATAACGTCTTCTTTGATTTTCTTGTCTGCACTGTAATGTCAGAGTTAACTGATTATGTAAAAAAGATTAAAATATATTTTCTAAGTTATTTACAAGTGCCTGATTGTTTCTTTATGATGCTTTACCATATGAAATAATATATAATTGATATAATATAATATTATTAGGAAATATGTGAAGTTGTTGAGTAATAAACAGCATAACTGAAGTTAAATTTCCTTTTATTTTGAAAAAATGGGATAGTTGATATCTACAGCACAGAGGTAGTCCCTGATTTCCCTTTTTGCATACCATGTTTTAGCATTAAAATTACATACCTCATTAATATAAATTTATGAAATATGCCTGCTAGCTAGCTAAGGCTACGTTTACACGACAACGATGTAGTCAAAAAACGGAAAAGTTTTTCCCTTGCGTTTTTAAAATGTTTCACGGTATACACGTTTTCAAAACGATTAGCGTTTACACATCGAAAACGGCCAAAAACGCTGTATTACGTATGCCAGGCCAGTAGTTGGCGCTGTCACCTTGTTAATAAACTACCTGTAGGGAAGTGACGATTATATGTTGTATATGATGCGTCTCCACTGTTGGTTGTAATATTGGTGAAGTAAATCCACACTTTGCTGAAGAAACGTTGAGCAGCTTCTTCATAAACTCTTGAGCAGCAACAACAGTACCATGTACTCAGCCATTGTTGGTATATGTTTGTTGGCGCTTGCCTTTACAATTTATTTTTTATTATGAATGGAAACATCACAAGATGACATTAAAGATATACAACTTTGTATAGAGTACACAACATTTGTCAACAATATGTACAATGTCATCTGAACATACAGAACAAAAGAAAAAAAAAAGAAAAAGATAAAGAAAAAATAAAAATTGGAAGGGAAAAAAAAAACAAAAAAACATGAGGGTAAGATATTAATTTATATTTCAATTAGAGTATACAAATTAAAGTCATTACAAATTGAAGTTGTTCTTCTCGCTTTCTTATTCACAGAGGATGAAATAGTATTAAGATACATTTTAAATTCTTTCAAAAAAACAAGAAAAATTGGTTTGTTGTTAGTTGTTCCATGAGCCATCCATAAATCAGACCCCCCCTGAGATCTCCAGAAAACACAATCCTCCTTGGTTGAGTGGCATGCTTGCCTTTACAATTGACACGTACTGCGCATGTCTACATACCTAACACGTACTACGCACGCGCGTGACGTCACCGTTTTCAAAGATTCCCGTTTTGGGTGTTTACACGGAAACGATAACGGTGGCGTTTTCAAAAACTTGCACTTTGAAACCCGTTTCTAAGGCCCTGTTCACACGAACGCGGTTATTTTTAAAACTTTTTCTACGCGATTAGGCCGTTCGTCCACACACAAACGCAGCACCAGTTCACTGAAACTGAACATTTTTGAAAACGCCTGCCAGGGTGAAGATTTTCAAAAACTCTGGTTGCAGTGTTATCATGTCGACAGCGAAACCGGAGTTTTTGGCTTGTGACCTCGGAACCTGCACTGTTATCTCCGCCTACTGGAAACTTTTTCAGGCTTCTGATTGGCCAACATGGCTTTACGGTTGAGATTATATCGCCACCTGTTGGTTTGGCATGCTCTTGACAGTGCTTCATAGCATGCGACAGAGATTTTTTTTTAAACGGAAGAAGGAAAAAATACCCGTGTACGTGTGGACATGGCCTAAAAATATGAGTTTTCAGTCCCCAAAACGCCATTGTCATGTAAATGAACAGGCAAAACGCATTTCCCGTTTTTGACTGAAAACGTTGTCGTGTAAACGGCCCCTAAGATGTCAATTCACAAGCATAACTAGTGTTAGTTAGAAGTGTGTTCCATACTGGAAAACAATGAAAATCAACTTTTTTAACGTAGCACTACTGCGATGATCTTGCGCTATGTCTGTGTGCCTGTCCTCTCTCTGGAGGGTCTGTAGTCATTGGTGTTCACTTCAAAGGCCCCAGCCAGGTCTTTCACACTACTGGCTGCTCGAGGTTTAGCCAGGATGCTCCCTACAGCCTTCGACTTTCGTGGGTTAGTGTTCAGACTCTTAGATCTGAGTGAGGGGTACATCCTGTCCTCTGCAACATACAAGTGATCTGAATCCGTCAGCTCCTCTCTTTTCTCTTCTCCTCCCTCTGTTTTGGTGCTTTCGCTATTCGCCTCTGACTGATCTTCGTCTTTCTTCTTCTCCTCACTTTCCCCTTGTTGGGTTTTTGTCCACTTGCTCTCCTTAGAAGATCTTTCTTCATCTTGGGCTTCTCTCTTTATTAATTTCTCTAAAGATGTCTTGGGTGAAAGTCCAAAAGGGGAGGGATGAACTTTGTCATCGAAGCGTGGAGGCCAGCGACCTAACGTTGGCGATCTGCTTGCTTGATCCTGTAGGTCGTGTGGCTCCGAAGCCCACGTATTCCCTGGACTGCACAACCTCGACTGTGCCATCGAGACGTACAAAGTACCACTTTGGGATCTGTTCTCGTACGAAAGTGAGTTACTTTGAGCTTCAGTTGGGTACTGCCTCAGGGATTGCGCCCTTTCCAGAAGATGTGAAACTGCTATGTCTATTCCAGCTTCTAGCAGAGCTTGTGGATCTTTAGGGTGTTGAATGGAGGTGAGTTTTGGGGATTGAGAGATCTGGACTCTGTCTTGTGACTCGCAAGGAGAGATGAGGATGTCCACACAGGAGCTGGAGCGTGTTCTTTGCCGGAGGGGCACCACGTCCAGCGTGGGTCCGTAGCAAGAACCTTGATGAGGGTTTAGAAGGAGGTCACTGCTGCCAATACTGCCGCGTCTCTCTGCGTGGCCCTTCCTGTCCCCTGACATCTCCTCACTGCGGTCCTCGGCATCCAGGTGCCAGCGGTACAAACTGTAGCCATCGGCGCTGTTGATGCTGCCGCGACGAAGCAGGCTGGATTGGTCCACGGCCATTGAGATACCGGATCGAGCACGGACCAGTTCGCAGCGGTCGATGCCAGCCAGCCGCTCCAGCGCGTGCATCATGCGGCCAGAGAACTCCTCTAGCTGAGCCAAGCGCAGGTCTACTGTCTGCAGGGAGGCTTTCATGGAGTGCTCTCGTTCATTCACCTCCTCTAGGCGCATGGACATGTTCTCGACTCTGCAACAACAAGTGTTTCAAATGGTTGTTGTTTGTTTTAACCTCAATAGTTATTCTAAATGTAGGGCTCAACAATAAGGATGCAAGTGTGAGAGAATTTCTGACCAGATGACAGAACTGTCGGCAGCTTTTTCGGCCCAGTGCTGCATTGCCACTAAACTTTTTATATTCACTGATCCTGTGCACCATTTTTTATGCCTTTTAAACTTCATTGTTTGGTTTACTGTGATGTAGTCTACATTGTGGTTCCAAATTCTGCTAATTTGCCACCAAGACAATGTTATCTAGCTGGCTAACATAGATGAGGATTTGTTGAATGTCTTGAAAGCATAAGGGGCTGTTCACACAGAACGCATTTCTGCATTCCACTGCATTCTTTTGTAGCGTCTCACACATGATGGCGTTCTAAAAACAGCACCCTTAAGTTTCACGAGTTCACACTTACATATAATTAGCTGAAGTATGGTAATGCATATTTGGCGTGCTGTCCGGGGAAAATGGCAAAAGGTGCACACCGAATGCTGATAAACCGTCGATGGATAGAGGTAAGTCAGCTGTATTTATATCATGGTGTTGATTAACTTGAGTGCGCTCCACCTGTGTTAATTAGGCTAAGTATCTGACGCGCTCCTCCCAAACCTTGTTAATAAAACATCATTAAAAGAAGTTCAAGTAAGACATTTTTTCAATTCTACTGCTCGAGTTTTTCCAACACCCCAAGTGGAAAACAAAACTCAAGATGCGACTATTTTTTAAAAGGTAGTCAGACTACAGTTTTCATTCCACTTACTTCCATTCTAGCACATGCGAATGCAGGACACAGGAAACGCAAGCTCATGTCAATTTTTGCTGCCTTTCAATGTTCAAATTTGGTGAGCTGTGTGATCAATAGAAGGTTGGTGAGATCTCTTAGCTGAATTCAATTATGCTAACTATAAATATGCAGAATTGGAGTGGAGTAGATTGCATATTTTTACATTTTGAATGTATTATATGTTGAATTATGTAAAAAAAAAAAAAAAAACAGCAGAGTGTGATGTCATATTATGAGCATTGCCGTGTCCGTAGAAATTTGGCACGCTTAAAGTCTAGTGTGTTCATGGCATTACTTCAACGCTGCATTTTTAGAACACCATCATGAGACGGTGCAAAAGAGAGCAGACGTGATGCAATGGTCAAAGAAAACCATATTTACCACATATTTACTTCAAAGGGAATCAATTTGAAAGCAGTGCAGTGGAGTGCAAAAACACATTCTGTTGAAAACTACATACCAGACAGTAATGTTTTACATCGCATGCAATAGTTAAAAAAAACAGTTTATGAATGTATGGAGTTAGATTCTAAATATATTTTGCAGCTTATTTCAAAAACAAAAAAAAATGCATTGCTTACTATAAAAAATGGTAATTTAGAACCACAAAAGAAGATCCTTATTGTAGAGCCCTGAAATGACATTTGCAGGTGCAGTTGTTATTTTTCATTCAGTACCTCTGGGAAGTAATTCGGATTCGCTCATCATTGGAAGACTGCACCTCGTCCTCCTTCTCTCTGAAGTACTCCTCCACACACTGTTCCTCAAACTCATACAGACTCTTCAGTTCCTCCAGACTCAGAGTCAACTCTGGAAAAAGAAAAAAATATGCTTTAAAATAGGTTGCTATAAGATTGATACACTGAAGCAGTAAAAATGAATAACAGGAGTAATAACTCAGTCCGCGGTCTCTCTCATCCAGCTCCCCTTCCTGTTTCTTCCTGCAGCGGCAGCACAGGCGCTTCAACACAATGTATATGTGGCTGAAGATGATGAGGGGAGGAGGAAGCACCGGTCTGTCGTGAAAAGTCATGATGAGCTGGTAGTGTTGGAACTTCCATACTTGGTTGGAGATGGATTTCACTTCAAAGAATGTGTTACTGTGAAAGCAATGAGTTCTCTCAGTGTTGTACTGCTGATAATGAATCTATGAGAACATAATACTGTGCTCCAGTACTATGGCTCATCATTGCTTTACATTACAGTGCTTACATTTTGTGTTTATTTTTTGACTCACTTGAATACAGCAATAAGCAGGTTAACCAGTAGGATGTTGGCTACCAATAAGTAACAGGCCATGATGGCAGGTGTGAGCCAGGCCCCAGGTATACATGGAGGGAGCTTCTTCCCATCTTCATCATACATGTTTTCACCACAGGGTGCTGCCATACATTACAGAGGTTATGATGCAACCATGACGTCATTCTATAGTGTTTGATAATTACATTTAATTGTGGGTCTAGTGGAAGAATTTTACACTCACGATTAATCTCCATCGCATAGACTATGAGTATTTAAAAAGAAAGAGAAAAAGCACAGTTAAAGATTATGGAGAACTAAACTAATATTAATCATTTCACAATCAGCCAGCCATCTAAATAGTGCATTAGGAGGGGAAGATAAATATTTTAAAATAGTCATTGTTAAAGATTTTTGTACACTTCACATTTTAGGTGAAGAAAGATACAATACCATTCAGAGTTCTGGATAAGATACTTTTATTCATCAAGGATGCATTAAAGTGACCAAAACTGACAGTTAAGGCAAAAAGATTTAAAAGTCTTCTATTTAAAAAATAATTTTAAACTAATATTTCACAACTGTACCATTTTTACTGTATTTGATCAAAGAAATGCATTGGTGAATATAAGAAACTTATATAAAACTCAAAAAAAGAAAAACCAACCCTAGACTTTTGAATGGTAGTGTACGCTTGCACAATAAGCTGTGCTTTCTTTCATAACTGCATTTTCACATATTTCTGCAGAACTACCATCATGTATTTTTAGATGTTCTATATTATCATTAAATTCTTCCAAAAAGAGTAAATACTCAGTACTTGAAATTCATTTGCATTGTATCCAAAATGGACTACGAACGTTTTAGTCACACAGGACCTTCCACAATGGAGGAACAGGTAATGAATTTAAAGTATTAAGTTTTTACGCTTTTTGGAAGAATTTATTTATGACTTGAAATCATGATATATGTTTTGACTGTATTATCATTAAAAACAGTATTTTTATTTATTTAATTTTAAAATTAAAGTAGCAGCTATTAGTTCACCTTGTTTTTTATTCTTTTTTAAATGTACATTTATTAATTTAGCAGCTTACAAATGAGAATTATACAGGCACAATTTAACCAAGCGAGCAGTACAAGGCTAGAGCAGAAGTGTAAAAGTGAAAGAAAAATGCCAACAATCAACAGCTACAAGACATAAAGACCTAAAACTCACAAGCAGGGCAGGTAAAGACTGGCATTGTCACACACTCAGTCCATCACACATGATTCAGTAGAGGGCGAATGCCATTGCAGTGTAAATGGTCACATGATCAGGAGATGAGACACAAATCTTTCTGTATAGTTCACAGATACAGAGAGGGTGGAATGGAGACGAGATGGATCATCCACACATGAATCAGGAAACAGAATCTTACTATGAATTCTAGTCTTACGGTCTATCGAGTCAGCAAACACTTCTCCATAGATCATCCAGTAGGGCATGTAGAAGATATTCCTCGCCAGACGCCACGTCGGCTCCTCGTCCGGGTGCAGGATGGCCTGGCGAGCCACGCCGAAACTCATGAGAACCACCAGCATGATCACCACAAAGTACAGCATGTCAATCATCTGCGCACACACACACACACACACACACACACACACACACACACACACACACAAATATCATAATTCTTCAGAAAACAGAAAACAAAAGCTTTTGAGCCATTAATATAAGTTTTTCTGTTAGTTCTCACCATTTTACCAATCATCATGACATATGGTCCCAAATACTTGTTAACTCCAAAAATGTCGAGGACACGAATGTACCAGAAGATGATGTCTACACAGTAGATGACACGTCCGTAACCCATGTAAGGCTCATTCTGCAATCGCAGTAACAGTCCCATGAGGAACATGGTGATGGCAGCCAGGTCAGTGATGTTCCAGTACTCTTCAAGCCATACGTTTATCTTCTGTTTCAGCTTTCCTGGCTCTGACATCAGGATCTACACACAAGCACATTTGTCCAATGAAGAAAAAACACATAAATATGACAATATAGCAACACATTTTTTGTTTGTGTACTTCACCTGTCTGACTTTCTCTATTCCAAGAGTGATGATGTAGGAGATGACGATCCATTCCTGCAGTGAAGGCCATCGCTCCATTTTCACCAAGATAATGTAATTATACAGCATCAGGTATACCAGGTAGGCAGTCTGAGTAGATACATAATCATTGTTTTTTTAATAACAATTTTACAGATTTTTTTTTTTATTAATGGTGTGTTTTGACTTTGATGTGCTTTTAAATAATCACATACTGTATTGAACCAGAACTTGGTAAACGGAGCGTTATAGAAATAGTATATCTTCTTCCCAACAGGCACTCGTTTCTGTTTCTTTTTACCATCTTCCTCATCACCTTTCTTTGACGCTCCGTCCATGCTCATGGTCCTATCCTGAAAATAAATACCCACCCTGAGAGTTTTACTCAGTTTCACCTCATAAAGGTCCATAAACAATTAAGAAGCCAGTGTTTAATATGTATTCTACCATTCAAAAGTTTAAGGTCAGTACAATTTTTTTTTTTTTTACTGTTGTTGAAAGAAGTCTCTTTTGCTCACCAAGAGTGCATTTATTTAATCAAAAATACAGAAAAACAGTAATATTGTGAAATATTTTTACAATAAAAAGTGTTTTTCATTGTAATATATTTAGAAATGTAATGTACATATTTTTACCTTGCCAGATTTGTTTTCATCCTCTTTGTCTTTGAGCTCTTCTTTGTCTTTGGAGTTTTGGTAAGACAGATCATCTCCAGTTCGGAAGTCTAGGAGAAGAATGGTTGGAGGAAAGATGATTCCAAGGATTACCTGTGAATGATTTGAAGTGATAAAAATGTTGATATATAATATTTAGAGTCAGTGACTTATAAATGTAGTGTGTTTATTTTGTATTGCAGACCTTGAGTCCATTGCTCTTGCCCACCCGCAGGCAGCCCATCCACATGTCTGTGAGCAGCATTTGGCTGCAGGTGTGGGCTATAAAGTCTCTGTGTTTGGCAGCTACAGCCAGTTTCAGACAGGTGGAGTTACTCCAGTTCTTCAGCTCATACGTCAAAAGCTTCATGGCCACCTGTTCATCATGCTTGTAAGACTGATCTAGCAGCTCATACGCTAACTGACCAAATTCCCTGAGTGTGAGAGGGAGAAGAGAGAGAGGCTTTATGAGAAGTAACACTGTTGTGTTGACAGTTTAATAAAACAATTCTAGTCTATTCTATTCTATTCAGCCACATGCAACCTAATCCTCCTTTGTCCTTCCTAAATCAAGTAATACATAAAAACACAGTAAATTGTTCATAAACTACACAAATTAATCAACTACCGTTCAAAAGTTTGGGGTCAGTAAGGCTTTTAAAGAAAGTCATACTCTACTTTTTTTTCTTCTTAGCAAGGACGTATTAATTGACCAAGTGTGATAGTAAAGACATATAATATAATAATTGCTCACTTGGAATTATTGTCCAGATCCTGCGAGATGTCGTCCACTAGTTCGCCCCGTGATGATTCGTGCGCCATCGCTTTATAGAGTTTACATGCCACCAGAGCTTTGGCCATGGCCTCTTCTCCCCTCTGCCAGAGAAACAGCGCCATCTTTTGGCGCTTCATGAGAACAGCCCACACCATCAGCTCATGGAAGGGGTACTGGAATCGACTGACCTCTGGGTCATCAACGTCAATATCGATTTCTTCCTCTTTCTTCTTCTTCATCTTCTTTTTGCCTTTAGGTCTTGGGTCATCGTCCTGTCGAAAACAAAACGAAGTGATTGTGTCTGTAAATAGGCTACTACAAGTTTTTAGCTACCAGTCAAATTTCTTTATGTGTGTGAGAGAGAGTATACATATTAATACCGAATACTTACAAAAAATCTGCCTTTTTTATGTTTTAGTGGCTTACCTCCATACCCAGGAGTTTCAAAGCTTTGGGCTAAAAGAGAACAGAAAGAGAGAGAATCAGACGTGTTTGAGCATATTTGATTATTTAATAACACATTGGTAAATAACTGGTTGATCGATTTTATGTCTGTTTTAATTTCTCAAAAGTGTGGAAGCTGAGAAACAAGTTACTATTAATAATTATCTATATTTTTGCTAGACCATAGACTAAGCAAGAACAACTAATTGGCCCATTAATTGACAAGTCAGTATTTTTTTGTTTGACATTTTTCTGTAAAATATTTATATATTTTACTATATTTTTTACTATATGTTCTGTAAAATATTTCTGCTCTAAATATTGGAGTTTTTCATCCCCTGGAAAAGTCTTGGTTGGCCACTATGATATTATTAAGCTAAGCAGTTGTGTTTGGTATAATGTGTTTGCAGGGGAAAAAAGACTGTATTTTCAGATATGCATGAATAAGTGTATAAGGGATGGTAGTAACTCACTCTCTTCAGTCCATAGAGGTTATTATAGAGTGTGCGGAAACTTTTCCTAGTATAATGACACCGATACGCTCCTCCCATGAGGTACTCCAGAACCAAGCCAATGTCAATCAGAGTGATCTGGTAATCTGGCGGTAGGTTTCCCTGGAAACATTCATTTCATAACACCATAAAGTAACTTATTCTTTCACTGCTGAAACTACTGAAACTAGAGTGAAATAAAACTATTTATGCAATGCTCTTACACAAAACACACATACACAAATCCAAACACACAACTGCAATCACACACTGCTAAAGAAGATTAAAGTCTTATTCTTTAGAACAATATTGGAGTTGTTCAATAAAATTACAGAAAAATACAGTGTGTTTTAACTCATTTTGATAATCTCGAAGACAAGAAAGATCATAGCACAAATTATTAATAACAAACTTTACCTTTTTTACATCTCTGACCACAAAATGCAATGTGTTGGTTGGCCCTAATTTCTGAATAAAAAAAAACAAAAACATAAAACCATATACACAATTCAGGGAAAAGCCCATTAGGCTTCATCTTCTGTAAAACACACAGATATTTGTGGGCTAAGTGCTTTCTCCTCATCAACAGATTACATTGTATGATATGATAATGGATAATACTAAACACACAAATGACATTTTCAAACCATAATGCATGGAAAGAGAGAAGTGAACAGCAGTGAAAGCTCTAATAACTGGATATGTGGGTCATATTTGTTATTGGTTGTATCATTAAAACATTAAATGATAAAACAGAGAGTGGCTACGTGACCCTCTAATATTCCATAAATATATGATTGTGTGCCAACTGTGTTATAGAGCTCTTCCAGTCGTGGGATTGTCAGGAAATGGTGGATGTTGACGCCATTTTCAATAAGGAGCTTTACAAAATCCACTCTGTCAAGCACGAGTGCGTCCATCATGGCCTGTTCCAGAGAATTAACCTATTTTACACATCAACACACACACATACACACATGAAATTTAATTGACCAACAAGAACATACACACATATATAGACAGAATTACTTTAATCGGAATAATTAATTAATTCAGTGGTGAGTAAAGCAAATGCTCACTAACACAATATTACTAAAGAATGAACCTTACCCAGTTAAGCAGCTCTAGTTTTCTAGGATCTGTCTCCTCTGGAGGCTCAGGTTTGGATTTGGCACCTTTGCCCTTCTTGGGCCTGGCAGGTTTATGCTTGCTGGCACGGGTGGTGATAGGGCTCTTTGGTTTATCCTGCTGGCTCGTGGATGAGATGGGCAGGGACCCAGCAGGCTGATGATATAGACATGACAATATGTATTCAATAACGTTATAATACTGAATACAAATACTATAATATATGTATGGCTGTACAGGTGCATCTCAATAAATTAGAATGTCGTGGAAAGTTTCATTTATTTCAGTAATTCAACTCAAATTGTGAAACTCGTGTATTAAATAAATTCAATGCACACAGACTGAAGTAGTTTAAGTCTTTGGTTCTTTTAATTGTGATGATTTTGGCTCACATTTGACAAAAACCCACCAATTCACTATCTCATAATCACTGAATCATCATCAACATTTTCCTCACCCATCCTCCTCCGAGTACTTGTGAGCGAATGAAATGATATCCGATGCTCGGCCGCTGCCGTCGCACACAACCACAGGTACAGGAGGTTCCTCACGCAGACTCTCCAACACAATGGAGATTACATTCGGCCCTCCTTCAAGAATCAAACACACCAAAGGGACCCCATGACCCAGACCTGTACAAACATAAAGCACACTCATGTACAAATATGCACAAAATAAGCAGCGATTAGACATGAAAAGATGCTTTTGAGCATGATTAAGATGGTTGTTTTGACTGCAGTATGGGATGACGTCTGGACCTCCCTTTGCTGTCCCAGCCTCATCAGGAACTCCAGGCATAGGATGACAAAGGGAAATCCAGGAGGTCACAGACTGGGCATTCCATCACTAGACCAACATTCATGGACTCCAACAGTGTTTTGACTGTTTTATTCCCTTTTGACTTGATGGATTCATTAAAATTGCTGAACTTTCTTCAAAAAGCTGACATAACTACTAAAAGTTGACTTACGTGTGTTGATCTTTTGCAGAGAGATGTGTTTCTCCAGCTGCCTGCGCAGTCGGACCTCCGCGCCATACTTTCCGTGAGTGCCGTTGTCAGCCAGAATGAAGTGGGAATGGCTGTTGTTAAGCACAGAAAGTTTGCTGAGAGGGTTGGACATGGTTTGGTAGGGTCGTGTCACCTGGTCAAAGAAAAAACACAGACACAGTGGTGATACATTGCCCAAAAACCTCAAACATTCATTTATGCTGATTAAACACGAGTACATGCATTCCTGTGCAATGACACGAATGGCTTACGTCTCGTCCGATCAGATCCTCTTTATTTTCCACAATACCCCATGGTGCAATACCGATGGCGCATACCTTCCCACGGGATTTGGAGGAGTGGTCTTTCAGCGCATCTCCCACATGCCGAATCACTCCTGTGTAATGTGACAAGAAGGAATAAACATGGAATTATTAGTGTGTCATGTGATGGAGTCATTGGCAGTTTCTCGCTCAACAGGAAAGCAGATGATTCAGTATCTGAAAGAGAAACAGATGACCATTTAATTGATGACAGTTAGGTCACACCATGACCTGACCTTATTTTCATGTTAGACTTCTCTGTGTTGTCAAACACCCACCTGTACTAACTCCCCCAGTGAAGATCCAGGCCCCAGTGGTAACTGCTGCTTTTATCAGGCCCTTTCCAAACACTTGCTTGAGTTTGGGCTGCAAGTCGAAGTTCTGCAGGCCTCCATGCACAGAGATCAGCAGGGTGGGCAGCTCCAGCTGCCAGTCTTTCACCATCAGATGCAGAAGGTTATCAGGCTTGGTATCATAGGACACACGGATATACTGATGATAAACAAGGAAGAGAGGAGAGAAAATGATATGACTTTAGGAGATCCAATGTTCAGGAAAAATTTTCGGATGACTCCAAAGTGTTTGAGCACATTTTTGTGCAATGAAAAACAAATGAATCACATGGTTCTCTGAAAAATACCATGGCCTTGTTGACATGACCTCCTCCCTGGAATTCAATGATGCCGTATGCGTCAGTGGGCGTGGCTTGTGTGTGCTTAGCAACTCTCTCCCATTAGCCCCTCCACACCTCTTCTTAATACTGTTTGTTGAGGTAAACTGGGAGGGATAGGAATCAAATGAAAGATACAGGTGCTTCAAGTTCTTACTAAAGACCTGTCAATAATTTAGGATTTATGTTGGAGACAGTAGGCGCGGTTTTACCTTTTTCAGAAAGGTGTTCTATAAAACTGCCTGTTGCTGTAGCAGCGCCATATTAAAAAGCCTCCCACAGAAATCAAATTAAGCACAAGTGCTCTCATTCACAAAGAGCAGTATCGCTGAAACATAATCTGGCTCTGTCCCAAGTACATATGAGATTTGTGTTTAGACATCTGTCGACAGCTTTTGACATCTTTGGATTTGGGCATTTCAGAGCTTAATTTCTCCCAAATCCTAAAGGGTTTAGTCATAGAAACACACGTGGAATTTCCCATGTGGAAAGTGAAGCTGCACACTCACACAAACCACTCTCTGAAATGGCACAAACAATATTTTTGGGAACTGTCTTTTAGGCAGGTTTTAAGTTTTTTTTTTTATATTTATATGATATTAGGCAAAAAATATTATATATTTTAGTTGACTGAGTAAAACAAAAGAACGTAAAAATAAAAGTTATTTTTCGGAGTAGAAATTACCTAATACCTTAAAAAGCCTTCATATACATATAATAGCCACATAGCCAATATTGTCCCTAGCTTCCTGATAAAGACTGACTAAATTAAACAGAAAGAGTAAACCAGAAAAATCTGCTCCCACTGATCCATAATTACAATTTAGTCCCTCAAAGCTCTCACATTAACACATGTCTACCCCGTGAGTAGCTACATAAAGGAGCTCTGTGAGAAGCTCAACTCTAGATGAGATAATCCTCATCTAAGCAAATCAAGCAAAGAGCAAATCAACTCTGTCTGCCAATAGGAAACGAAGACTAATGTTTCCACACTGTTTACAAGAAAGAAAGATAATACAGTAAACATTCTACAATGCAACAGGATTCAGTTCCAATGTATTTTGTAAAAGATATTTGGGGTCTTTATTCAGAATTGATAAGCCATTCCCATCCACTCATTATGATTCCCCCAAATCATGTGATTCTGGGTGTTATTATATTCTAACATTATTATGGATGATTAAAAGTGCCTTTTTTGTGAACATTGAATTAACAAACATTTACAGAACATGTCCAGCTGTGAACGCTGATTATAAGCATGTATGAATTTGATAAAGAAAAATGCTGTTTGTCAGCTTGTACCTATGGAACAGACAGTTTACAGAGTTGGAAGGTCAAGTGAATCATGACATTGCTGAATTTTTTTATGCAACCTTGAATTTTCATGAACTCCAGTATACCACTTTCCATTCCCTTGAAAATACAAGCTGATTTGAAATGATTTCAGGTCCATTGTAAGCCCACTAAGTGTGTTTTGTCCACTTGTGTTTGGACTCGTTTCACAGAACTCTGCATTAATCACATAAGATTGAGACTTAGAGAGAACAGGGGTTTAAGCTACCCAGGCCAGTGCTCTTTACTGGGCCATTATCAGAGATTAGAGGACAATGCTGAAAACAGGTTTTGTACGTGTGCACGTGTGTAAGTGAACACTCAGAAATCAAGACCATCACTGGAATCAATGCATTCACCAAATAAGTTTACACACATGGACAAAATCACTGCCGATATAAAAAGTTAACCAACAGAGACCCCCGTTTTTGTTAACATTATACAAGCCTGCAACATGCAACTGCAAAAATCAGTCAAACCTCAAACATTCCCAATTCTAAACAAATGCAGCATGAATTGAGTATGATAACATCACTTCAGTTAATTAGCCATCCCAAAGCGGAGGCATAGCCAGACAGGTGAAAGGAGGGAACGATTCTAGGGGCTCACAACCATTTCTAGATTTCTTAGATGGCTCTGCTCCCAACCATAATTCGATACAGGCTTGTTTCTTCACCGACTCAAGATAACCCAGTCAGTTGCAGTAGGAATGATGGGGGCGGATTCAAAGATGTTTAGGTCTCTTACCTTCTGAGAGCCAGAGGATGTGCGTTTAATAGATGCATGCTTAAAAGACCCCTCTTTGCCCCTTTTCCCTCCAAAGCCCGTTATCCATTTTTATGAGATCCTAAAGTCCAGCCATCACCATCCAGGCTTAGTCTCTGTGACCAGCACACAAAATGACCAACAGCTGAACAGAGTGATGTCCAACTCCAGAATTCCACAGCCAGACACAGTGAGATGCAAATAGTATGACGCTGACACAAAGACCCCCTTCCCTGACTACTGTGTGTGTGTGTGTGTAATCAGGCTTAATGGAGTTGCCCTATGAGTGATGCTCTTTAATGCAGGAGATTTATTAAATGGTGATTGAAGGTAAATCTGGGTAAAAATGGCTCTAATGCTAAATAAAAAAACGCATGGTTAGGTCATGACTTGGGAAGTATTAAGAAATCGAAATGCAGGGCTTAGCTGTGAATAGGAGAGTGCAGCATAATCACTCATGTACCAATGTTCAGGTGATGGGATCACAAAACAATCTGTTATCAAAACAATTTTTCTCATCATCATCAGTTAAAAACTCAAGATTATAAAATATAAAATAGTTTGGCTCGAAATGAAAATGCAGCCAACACCTATTTGTTCTGGTCCTGCAACTGATACACAATGGAAGGAATAAAGAAAGGCATTAATTCTTCAGATTACACTTCTGATAGCATTCCTGCCTGATTTAATGTTCAGAATCACTGAATTGCGAGCGAACTTTACACGGTTCATCTTAAGTTGATGGTTTTGATACATGTAAGGTTATAGGTGAGAGCTAATAATTAAACTCTGCAAAAACATTTAAAGACATGACCAGTCAGCTGGTGCACATTCAGCGGTGCGTATGTTGTATTATCCTGTTCATCTTAAGGAAAAAGCCCATGGGAAAAAAAAAAATTGTTTCAGTTAAAAACTCAAGATTATAAAATAGTTTGGCTCGAAATGAAAATGCAGCCAACACCTATTTGTTCTGTTCCTGCAACTGATACACAATGGAAGGAATAAAGAACGGCATTAATTCTTCAGATTACACTTC